TCAGCTTTTCCCTCTTTAAATTTCAGTCACTCCTCAATTCTCCACTCTTATTTTGTCTAATCTGGGTTTAGGAATGAAGCTGTTTCTTACAATTGCCCTGCATTGATCTGTAATACGTTGTTCTATAACTAGTTGCTTATGATATTACTGATGAAAAATGGCATGAAGTCATTTCCTATAATGGAGAATATCTGTTTCCAATTTTTGCAATAATGCATTCCTGGCACGTAATAAAAACATTCCCACTTTCAGTCCATTTCCTGTACCCTCATGGTTTGCCTACATTAGAGGTCTTTGTCGTCAACAACGTGGTCTTTTTAGCAAGATTGGGCAGGCATTGGCATTTCTGATTTATTCTAATATAGAAGGATTTGTAGTAGTGATAGTTGCAATAGTATTATTATTATTATTAGTAGTAGTAGTAATAGTAATAGTAGTGGTAGTAGTAACAACGTTAGTACTAGTATTAGTAGTAATAGTAGTAATAATGTTAGCAGGAGTGGTAATAGTATTAGTAGTAATACTAATAGTATTAGGTAGTAGTAGTAGTGGTGGTGGTGGTGGTGGTAGTGGTAGTAATAGTAATTGGTAATAATAGTATTAGTAGTAATGACAATGATGCTGGCAGCAGTTAGCACTTATATAGTGCTTTAAGATTTACAAAACACTTTATATAACTTAGCTTATTTAGTCCTCACTGCAACTCTTTGAGATAGGTGCTGTTATTAACCCCATTTTACAAAGAGGTTAAAATGACTTGCCCAGAGTCATACAGCAGTAAGTGTCCAAGGCAAGATCTGAACTCGAGTTTTCCTGATTCCAGGTCCAGAGCTCTATCTACTAGGCCACCACTAGGTGCTAGGTACCAGGTACCAGACCACAAAGAGGTGTCTCTCACTTCACTGTGCTTTCTATCAAGCTGTTCATCCTGATTACACTGAGTAGAGCCAGCTTGGGGCTTTGCATTGCCCCATTTATTTATTAGATTCTTAGTAGAAGTCCCATTGCACTGGCTAGGGGGTGAGCTCCTTTGGTGATATTGCTAGATCCCAGTTGGCTGGCTTTTTGGGGTTCTTGCCAGGCCTTCATAACTAACATAGTGATTTTGGGGTACACAAAGCTGCCCTCATGTACAGCCCTGACTTCTGTTCCCTTGTTTTGTAGCTGTCTCTTTCCTTTATCACTCAGATAATGGTTTAGTCTTTGGAGGGATTATTATTATTATTATCATGGTTAATTGATGCCACCCATAAACATTGCACTATGACCAATTACCCTAATGCATTGGCCCAACTTTCAAAAGCTGGGAAAATAATTTCAGAGATAAGATATACACAGAAAAACTTAATGATGTTAGATAACAATTGTGAGACATTTTAAAATACTGACTACGTGGCTAGAGGACATATGAATAAGAGAAAAAAATAATATTATGAGAAGGAAGAGATCCTCGTGGGCTGGAGTGGTCAGAGAGGACTTCGTACAGAAAGATGCTGTACTAGAAGGAACCAGCTCTAACCTTGGAGGTAGAGAACCTGGATTCAAGTGCTGTTTACTGCCGCAGTGGTGATGGTGCAGCTGTCTCAGGTCCCTCATCTGTAAGGGGAAGGGGTGGGACTGGATGGCTTCTTAAGCTCCTCCAAACTCAGGAGCCATGATTCAATGGATAATATTTGTAAAGTGAGGAGTGGCCTCTTTAAAACACTGAATAGGCTTTGTCTCTGTCAAACTGAGACCTGTTAAAGACTTTGACTTGGAAAGGCTGAGGTCTCTGACTGCATCCCGTGCCATCTCCAGTCCTGATCTACGTCTTCCCACTGGACCCAGATGGCTCAAGAGGAGAGAGTGAGGCTGGTGACTTTGCACAGCCCTCCTTCACTTAAATCCAGTTCACTTGCATGTCATGGCATCACCTCCCTGATGTCATGGTCCTCTTAGAGAACCAAGGACAAGCAGCCTCAGCATTTGTAAAGTTCTTAGCACAGAAACTGACGCATAGTAGGTACTTAATAAATGTTTATTCCCTTCTCCTTTATCCTTCTCCTCAGGAAGCATGGTTTGAGTTGAGTCAGCCTGAATGATTGGTCAGCTATAGATAGGCAGAAGAGAGGGAATGGGGGGCATTTTGGAATTGGGGGAGCATCCTGAATACTGGTGCAGAGATTAGAATAAGGCTGGCTTTGGGACCTTGGGAGAATCTGTTAACCTTTCCCTTTCCTAAGATTGTCCATCAAAGAGCAATTGCTGATCTGCATTTTATTGGGAATTTCTGTCTTTAATCATTTGCTATACTGGAGAAATCATAGGACAGCCCCTTTGTCCTCTCCCCAAAGTATAGGAAGAGGCCTGTGGGATGGGGTGGGGTGGGAGCCTCAGAATTATGCCTCTATATCATATGTTTTTAAATTACCTCTTCCTCCAGGTTCATCTGTATTTCAAAGGAAAATTTTACCCGTATGGTTTTGATGAGTTTAATGTAGCTCACATTGTGTTTGGTAAGAAGAATTTGCCAGATGACAAATGTGTATTGAAAAAAAAAAAGGATACACAGTCTGCTTTCTACTTTATGTAGCTGAGAGTACACTTACATTTCTATTGAATTGAAAACATAGAAGGCCTTCCCCTAATTCAAGAGCAGGTTTGTTGAAAACAAAGAGTTGAAACTTGAGCGTCTCTAAGTGAGGTATGGTCTAGGACTCACCTATTTGAACCTGTTCTAAATATGGTAAAGTGGAGCCTTCTCTTACTAGAATGAATAAAATCATTCTACTAAGTGGCACCCATCAGGAAGTATCCAGAAGAACTCTATTCTCTTGAATTAGTGGGGAGAGAAATAAAAATGCTTCCCTGAGTTCCAGCTTAGTGGCAGCTGACATATTGTCTGCTAGGAGGGCCAGAGTTTAGAAATCATTTTCCCATAGCAATTCAGCCTTAACTTTCATTAGAATCAGAGCTTTAGAGCCAGAAGGAACCTTCAAACATATCTTTTCAGCCGTACCTCTCTCCCAGTTTCATAGGAGAGGAAAATGAGGGGGCCTAGAGCCCTTTTAGGTGAAACAGTGACCTACGGTCACACAATGAATTTAGTGGTCAGCTGAGAACTCAAACCTGGTTTCTGGCTTTATTTGCTGAAAAGCAGTAGGGAGAAGGGATAGTGAAGGAATTATATTCCAAAGTCATGAATGAATTCCAGACTACCAAATTCATACCTTTGGTTGGTATATAGCCCTTTGAAGAGAAAATTCTTCCTATTGAATAAGTCAAAGGCTCTTGAGACCTCTGGACCCCCTTCTGTGGATAGATTTCATGGGTCTGTGAACTTGGATGGAACACAAATTACATTTTTATTTGACTAGCTTTTAGTTTTTCATGTGAACCTATCTGTTTTATTTTATTTTATGCATTTAAAAATACTCTGAGAAATGGTCAGTAGACCTCACTAGACTGTCAAAGGGCTTCATCACACAGAACCCCTGAGATAAGGAGTGTATGTGTGTGTGTGTGTGTGTGTGTGTGTGTGTGTGTGTGTATGTGTGTGTGTGTGTGTATGTGTGTGTATGTGTGTGTGTGTGTATGTGTGTGTATGTGTGTGTATGTGTGTGTGTGTGTGTATGTGTGTGTGTATGTGTGTGTGTGTGTATGTGTGTGTGTGTATGTGTGTGTGTATGTGTGTGTGTGTGTATGTGTGTGTGTGTATGTGTGTGTGTGTGTGTGTGTGTGTGTGTGTGTACTTGTTTATATATTTGATTTGAATCCAACAGAGCTTTATTAGTGGAGCCTAGTGTGTGATTCTGAAAGTTCGGAAGAGATACAAATTTCAGCAAAGTTACAGTCTCTGCTTTTATGGAGTTTACAGCTTAGGATGGTGATAGGAAGTATTCATAAATAATTATAGTGCAAAATTACATGTGATAGGTATGTATCAGAAGAGTCATAACTAGCATGAATAGTGCCCTCAAATCATCTTTTTAAGACAAATTCAGTTGGGGAATATAGAAAAAGATCCTGGCTCCCAGGCTCCTATGCATAGAAATCTCGGGGATATGATTATTGTGCTGTAGGGAGAGAAGGAGCTAGCCCGGGGTGCATCGGCTGGGGGAGGAAGCCTGTGCCATCTGGTGCCTTTACTATTTTAACTAATTTTTCTTCTTAACTAGGTATTAAGCTTGTTTGTTTTTGTACTGCTAAAGGAATAGTTAAGTGCGGTCCTTTCCTTGCATATTTGAGCCAAAGCCCTCATCACTCCCCCCAACCCAATTGTGGCTTAGGTGACTTTTGATAATGGGCCTCCATCTTTTGTAGAGAATCAGGAATTAGATTGTGTAAGAAAGACTGTGGTGCAAAGAAAAGGAAATAATGTTTTATGGATGATTAACTTGTTTTTTATCCCTAAGCTTTATTTAAAAATTTTTATTGATATCTTGGCTTTATATCAGCTTAATTTTCCAATCTATCCTCTTCCTCTCTCTAGCTCAGAGAACCATCCCTTTCTTTTTAAATGTTTTATTAAGGCTTTGTTGATGTCACTGTCTGTTTCAATGATGCCCTCCCCCCACACACACCAGAGTAAAACTCAATTTCGTAACAAATGAGTAGTGTCAAGCAAAGGAAATCAACATGTCTGCCATGTTTGAAAATGTATGCCTCATGCTACAGCGGTAGCCCATCACCTCTCTGCTGAAAGGGAGGCCTTTTGAGGCACTTCTCATGGTGTTCAGGGTTACCCTAATTGCGCTCTCCCCTCTCCTGAATTCTCACCTACCCCCCTCCCCTCGAAGACTATGTTGCTGGTTGTATTGGCTTGCTGGACTCTAGGTGGGTTTATGTACTGTAACGTCTTTTCTCAGCCTGATGTAAGAGAAAAGAGGCCCTGGCTGTATCATTCACTGCCTTGGCTAAGAGTCCCAAAACATAAGGAATTTCTACTCTTAGACATGAAGAGTACATGCTCCATTTATACTGGGAAGCAACTCAATGCCTTTGTTTTTATCTGTTTGTAGCTTTGAAACTCAGCAAAGAAGTGGAACCCATTGAGAAACATCTGTAGAGGTAAGCGCATTTATTACATAGCCTTGACAAACAGCCTTATGACTGATTTTTTTCCCTTTTATTCAGGGATTTAAACACACGGCTTAAAGTAAGAGCTGATAGGCCAACTTTCTGAGCCGTTTGCTCGTCCCCCCACAAAAGTGTCTAATGGTAGTTAGCAGGAAGCAGGAGGAGATGAGGCAATGTGCTGAGCCTGGCCGAATGGCAGTCCTGACTGCTGACGTCTGCTTTGTCCTCAGCACTTCAGACATTCCCGGGAAGCCAGATTTACTGAGATTAATTTGAGGCAGGAGAAAAGGAATGTGCGGGCGCTGCTTCGGATGAGAGTCAGGTAAAACTTGCTGGTCAAATAAAGCAAATCTCAGAGTGGTATTTTAATAATGATCTGGTCATTATCACAGCATGCCTTGGTGCATGTAGCTATGTGGACCTACCAGGCTTGCTGGTGGAATAAAGGGAACCGAGCAGAAATATCTTGGGCACAGCCAATGCTATGGGCCCTTGGGGTAGAGCTATAGAGCTGAAAGGAACTTTGGAGGTCATCTGTCCAACCTCCCTGTTTTACAGATGGGGAAACTGAGGCCTAGGGAGGTAAAGTGATCTATGCAAATGGTAAGTGGCTGAGCTGGAACTCAAACCCAAGACAGAGTAATGTACTGGATAGGACACTGGATTTGGAATCAGGAAGACGTGGGTTCATATCTTGCCTAAATACTTATGTGATTCTGGGCAAACTAAGCGTTCTAGTGGATAAGGCTCTGGGCCTGAAGTCAGGAAAACCTGAATTCAAATCTGGCCTCAGACACTTCCTAGCATTGTGACCCTAGGTGAGTCACTTAACCCCTATTTGCCTCAGTTTCCTCAACTGTAAATTGGGGATAATAATAACACCTACATCCCAGGGTTGTAACTAAGATAATAATTGCAAAGCACTTAGCACAAGGCAGGGCACATAGCAAGTCTATATAAATGTTAGCTATTGTTATTGTTATTATTGTCACTTAACTTCTCTGTGTCACGGACTCCGCATCTGTACAAAAATCACGTGGTTGGTCCCTTTTGGTTTTATGTCTGTGTCTATAATATGTTTATATTTATAAATATAAATATTCATAAGTATATAAATATATCTATGTCTATAACACACTGATCCTGAGTAAAATCTTCCTTCTCTCGTACTGCTCTGTCTTGGTCACTGTGGAGTAGTCTTCAGTGGATGAGAAGAAAACGAACCCTCAAATGCGAAGCCACAGGAATAGCATTGAAGCCAACACGCTGTGAAACATTATAGTTGTGTTGGTTTTTACATGGAAAAAAATTTAATTGTTTCCTCTTTGCTAGGTATATTTATAAGCATACAACGGTACAGTATTGTTCTTTGATTCATGGTTTAATTTCTGTTCTGCATGAAGTATTTTAATTTAAAGAATTCATTGTGAGGAATTATAGGGTTGCAGCTTTTATCAAGAGCCTTTGGTGGCCGGGTTGAAGTATGCCGTAATTTCACGTTTGTTTTCATCATCAGTTATATTCTTGGCAATTTGGGGTTTTCTGCTATCATTTTTATTATAGTTATTGTGGTAGTGATTGTTTTAGTTAAGGTTGGAAACCCAAGTTTGATTTAGCTTGTATTTTCAGTTGCTTCTAACTTTGTGACAGATCGAGCTCTGGGTCCGAAATGTTCAATGCTCATTTTGAAAAGAAAGGTAATTTTATGGGGAAATTAGAGAAGCGTCTTTTGGGTGGAAATGTGAGCTATAAAAATATGTGCTAAGCGTGGGATTCAAAGAGGCCTCAAAGCTGTGGGGCCTCAGGAGGCCAGAATTTGTTTGAAATTAAGATATGGGACTGGGGGGAGGGTGGGGCATGATAACTGCTTTCAAATATTTGAAGGCTTGTCACGTGGAAGAGGGATTAGTCTTGTTCTTACTTGGAGAGCAGAGTTAGTCATAATGTGTCAAAGTTAGACTTTGTCCACATTCAGGCTACCAAAGGTGGAATGAGCTTGGAAGGTAGTAAGCTTCCTGCCATTGGACATCTTCAGGCAAAGGATGGATGACTTCTTATGGGGTGTGTTGAAGGGATTCTCTTTGGGACATGAATTGGACCAACTGGTCTCTGAGATTCCCCTGAAGTCTGAGAGATGATGTTCTATGAATGTTACAAGGTTTGCTTTAGGGGTGGAGAGAAATCTCATTTTGAATAAAACCTCTTAGGCCAAGTTTATGCCACAAAAATTTTGCAGTTCTTGGGATGATTTCTCAGATGCTAACCAGAGAACTTTGCTATCGAAGTCACTTAAGGGAATGAGAAGTCTTGGTTGTGATAGTTTCTGGACACACATCCTGAGAAACTTCTGGAGCTAGTGGTGATGTTTTGGTCCAACCCTGCTCCTGAAAGGATTGGTCTTCAATTCTGACCTCAGAATTTTAGGATTGAGCCATAGATGCTCCATTTCTCCCACTTTCATTTGGATTTGGGAAGTGTGGTTTTTTTTGTTTGTTTGTTTGTCTTAGGCAATTGGGGTTAAGTGACTTGCCCAGAGTCACACAGCTAGTGAGTGTTATGTGTCTGAGTCTGGATTTGAACTCAGGTCCTCCTGACTCCAGGGACAGTGCTCTATCCACTGTGGCACCCAGCTAACCCAGATTTAGGAAGTTTTAAAGTATGATTATGTGTCTGTACTTAGTGCACTCTTTATTAGGTCTAAAGCCAGTTGAAAAAGTAGATAGTAAGTGCTTAATAAATGTGCTTTTCATTCATCCATTCGATTGGGAGGCCCCATCTAGGTGCAGAACTTCCTGCCCTATCAAAAACCACCATGATGTGGAGGAATTCACAGAAATAAATTAAAACCTCCCAAAATTTCACCTATGCAGTGTCCCTTGTAGGTAGAGTCTTATCAGTGTTTGAGGTTGTTGTGTGAGCAGAAAAGGACATAATAATTACCTAGCCATCATCTAATTATGTGGCCAAATGGTTTCATTACAGTTTGTTTTAGCCCCTCTCGTTCTTTACTGTGAGGATGTGAATTACTGATCATATAATCAATTAATAATTAATTAGCTGGTTGGACAAGATGATCGTCTAAGTCTTCTGTTTTAAATCTGAGATTCTGTGGATTCTGTCCAGTGAACTCATTGGTGGTGAAGAGTGCTGACCACTGGACATATGATCATCCCCCTCAATGTGGGATGCTTCTTATGTATGCCTCTTAAATAAGACACTTTTTAGGGGAACAAACTTCCTTTGATGCTTCAAGATGGCACTTCTAAGACAGGGAAGAGTCTTGGTTCTTCAAAATGAAGTAGCTGAAAAGGGAATTGTCCAGTAAGATGAGACTCATTTGATCAATTGGTCAATTAATCAACAGGCATTTATTAAATACCTGCTAAGTGCCATTACTGTTCTCAGCACTGAGAATACAAAGACAAAAGTGCATCTGCTCTCATGTTTTACTGGGAGAATTGAGGCTCATGAAAGTGAGAGTGGGCAGTTGGCAATTTTGGCATCAACATGAAGCTGTTTACATTGATGTGTTGGATATTTTGTTTTGTTGGATGCTCACAATTCTTAAGAAACTCTTTATAGAAAGACTGTGGGTGGCTTATGCATATGGGAGTTAGAAATGGAAATTGACTATATGATTTGAGTAAGGTTTACAGATTTAAGAGTAATATCTTTTAGCCATTATTCCCCTTTTTACTAAGGTATTTATTCACAAATCATTGGACCTTATGTATTCTATTACCAATATGTAGAGAACAATATTTTCCTACTGCCATAAAATTTCTTAGTGCTGCTGCTGCTATGACTTCAAAGTAACGCTTGTCTTCTTCCCCGGTTCCCCAAATTGGCCATGTCCCAGATTATCTTTTGTTGTTTTTTAAACCCCAAGAACAAGTAAAGCAATGCTCTAACCTGCTTTTGTTTCAAGGGGGAAAAAAAGGATCTCAGAGTTGAAGGAGACTACAGAGGTCGTTTAGTGTAATAAAAAAAATTAATAATAGCTGATGTTAATGTAGCCCTTTAAGGTTCATGCTCATTGCTTCTTTTTTCTAGACTTTCACTAACCATTATTTTAATGATATTATAAAATTTTGCCAGATTCAACTTGGAGTCAAATTATTTTGCCTATAGGTTACTAGGCCTACTTTCTTCCTTTTTTTTTTTTTTTTTAGGAAAAGGGATGACATTCTCCCTTCTCCAACTCTGTGGCACTCCTGAGGTTGATAATGCATCGTCTCTGATGGGTGATACATGAAAGATGCAACCAAGGCTATCCCAGGTGGGCCTTGTTACTGCAGACTTTACTAACGCCAGAAGGCTGACCCTTAGCCAATAGGGAGGTATTAGGCATAGCTACAGTGCCCCAGGAAAAGGGAAATTCGGGCATATTCATAACTGCCTTGGCTGACTTCTCCGAGGTCAGAATCCTAGGAGAAATACACAGGTCTGTAGGTCCACAGCAGAGAAATCTCCTCCTTAGCCCTGTAATTCATCTATACCCTTCCTGAATGCTGAAAACTTAACTGGATCCTCTTAGTTTTCCAAAGGTACCTAAAACACCCACACAGTGCCAACATTGCAGTCAGTCTGCACCTGCAAGTCTCTAACTAGTAACAAAGAAGTCTACTGTTCATTCCCTTTAAATCAGCCACAGCATAACACCCTGTGAGCACATGATGCCCCTGCAATCCAGCCTCGTTGTGTGTGACTTGATGCTGTTCATTGTGTGAGGTTTGCGGGGTTTCAGAGTTCTCAGGCTTTCAGTTTCTAACTACTGCTGTCCAGGGTGCTGACACAATTGAGGGCCAAAGTCCTTACTCCACAGTGCATAGCTTCACAGCTCTGCTCTTCGAATATGTATTTCCTTGTGAAAGTTCTTTTGCCCTCCTGCACACCTCCTCTGCCTGTTTTTTATAAGATGGGGCTGACACTCAATTTCTACAGTCTCCTGGCATTGCTTGCTATTTCCCAAGAAGGAAATAGTCATCTTTGTTTGCTGATCGCTGACTATAGACTTTCTTACTATCTCTGTATTCTGTATTGTGTCCTGCATATTGTGAGTGGTTAGTTTCAAAATAATAGTTGTTTTTCAGGACCATCATAGGGGCACACCCATTGAGAGAAAAAAAATAACCAAAAAACCCCAAAACATGATAGCTTTTGCAGCAAATTGACATAATCCAGGACAAAAACAGTCCCCAAAGCTGTGCACTATTAAGTTTACAGATGAACTTTGTACTTGTATCATTTTCTTATACAAATCAGTATATGCACTCATACATATTTTTTCTATGTTAGGAACAATATGTTTTTTCATAGCACTTAAATGAAAGAAATAGATTCATACTGGATAAAAACACTTGACTTTTCTTTTTTTGGTGAAGTAAGGCTGGGAAGCACAACATTGATATTTTTGACTCTTTTAACATGATGATTGGAATATGCACTCTCAGCTTTGAATCTGCTTGTTCAGTTTTCTGTCTGGCAAATTAGACAGAACTAGTTGGTTGTCATTTTCCAACTTTGGTGATATCTCATATAGTGAAGCAGGTTTAAGTCAAGTGACCTGAATGGGTATGAGATGGATGCTTCTGAAGTCTCTTCTCTCCAATCCTGACCTGTCCGGTGAATTTCATTCCTCTGTTGCCACCTACTTTGAGTTTTCTATTTCATAGCTCACCTACAGCTCACCTCACCTATAGCTGAACCCATCATCTTTCCATCCCCACTGCCATAATAGCTGACATAGGTATAGCACTGGGAAGTATACAAAGTGCTTGTCTCACAGTGACCCTGGGAGTACAAGTGCTATTTATCCTGATTTTATTATTATATACAATGAAAGCCAGAAGGGACCTTACAAGTCATCTGGGAGAACCTATTCATCGTATAGCGCAGAGGACCATAGTATTACAGATATAGACCTGAAAGGGTCTCTGGGAGCCATCTACGCTGATACCACCCCTCCTGCCCCCACCAGTTTACAGGTGATGAAGCATTGACTTGAACAGGTTGTGACTTATCCAAGCTCATATACGTAGTTGATAGCAGAATCAAGATTAGAACCCAAATCTTCTAATTCCAAATCCAGTGTTCTTTCCATGAAAACTCTGCTGCTCCCCAGAGAGAGGTTAAAATGACTTACCTATGGTACAGAGCTAATTGCAGAATCAAGATTCAAACCCAGGTTTTCTGATTCAAAATGCATTGATTTCTCCTACTTCCTTATTTCTATCCATGATAGCGTCGTTTTCTTAATTTCTTAGTTGGGAAACTTTGTTTTACTCTTCCCTCTCTCTGACCTCTGTTATCCAAACTGGCACCAATTCCCATTTATTTTTCCTTTGTTATGGCTCTGGAGTTCCCCATTTTCTATTCTCATAGTTACCACCCTTGTCTGAGTCCTCATCATCCTCAGCCTGCACTATTGCAACGGTATCTTAACTGGTTGGCTTATTTCTTCTGTCTCCCAATCTGATTTTGGGCCATCAGATTTTTCTGTATAATATTGACGACGATGATGATAAGAGACATCTGTATAATGCTTTACGATTTGCAAAGCACTTCACATGCCTTATCACATTTGATTGTTATAACGACTCTGAGGCAAGTGCTCCAGTTACATACCTCTGAGTCTCCATTCATCGATCAGACAATACCTATGGTTTCATTCCATTAAGGAACTCTTACTGAGGATGCTCTCTTTACCAAGAGAGGTCAGCACTACTTGCTTTGAAACTGAATCTTAGAGGTTGCCTGGGGGTACTGAGGAGTTAAGTGATTTGCCTGGGGTCAGAGTGTTCAGCAAGTATTTATAGCTGACAGTAACAATACCAATAATAATAAGAGCCAGCATTTACATAGCACTTATTATGTGCTAGAGGCTATGCTAAGTGCTTAATAAATATTGTCTCCTTTGATCCTAAACAATTCTGAGAGGTAGGTGCTGTGATTAGCCGCATTTTACACTTGAGGAAACTGACAAACAGAAAATAAGTGACTTACCTAGGGTTACACAGGTAGTAAGTGTCTGAAGCAGGATTTGAACTCAGGTCTTCCTGGCTCTTAGTTTCCCTGGATTCTACAAAGACTCAGCTAAAGGGCTCTCAAAATCAGCTTTCTCAGTGGCTGCTATCCATACGACCTTCAAGGCGTGGCTTAACTTTCACCTCCATGAAGCCTTGACTAACTACTGGAGTTTATCTTGACCTTTCTTGAACTTTTCTTGAATTTTTTGTTGGCATCACACAGCTTAGCGCTTGATTTTTCTTCTATAAATTTCTCAGGACACTTTCCTTGGACCTGCCCTTTGGACTTATCTCACTCTCTTTTGTATCATAGTTATTATGATGTGTCTTCCTCCACTAATAGAATATAAATTCCTTGAGAGAAGGGACTGTTTTACTGTTATTTTTAAATGCCTGTGATCTATGCCTGGCATGTAATAGGTTCTCAGTAAATGATTGTTGCTTGATTGATAAATTTTTTGCTATTTGTTACTTTGTAAAAATGTCAGTTTTGTCTCCTTCAATATATAATAAACTCATTAAAGGCAAGTAGTGTGGGGCAGTAGAAAGAGGCCTAGACTCAGAGTCAGAGTGCTTGTGTTAGGATCCATGATTCTCTTGCTTATTACTTACATGACCCTGGGCACTTAACTCCCTCAGGCCTTGTTTCCTCAACTCTAAAATCAAGTAAATGGGTTCAGTTGTCTCTAAGGTCCTTTGAGGTTCCTCCCAGCACTAACTCTGTGATCCTATGAATTCAGTGTCTTCTAAGTAAAGTGGGACGGCAGCTAGGGGGAACAGTGGATAGAGTGCCAGGTTTGGAGTCAGTAAGACTCATCCTCTCGAGTTCAAGTGTGGCCTCAGACATTTACTAGCTACATGACCCTGAGCAAGTCACTTAACCCTGTTTGCCTCAGTTCTTCTAAAAAATAAGCTGGAGAGGGAACTGGCAAACTGATTGCATCCATTAGAGTGTGAGCTGCTTCAGGGGAGGGACTCCATCCCCAGTGCATAACACAGTGCCTGGCATATAGTGGGTATTCAATAAATGTTTGTTGTTGACTTGTTTATGTGACTTTGGGCAAATCACTTTTCAGGACTCAGTTTCCCTCACATGTAAAATGACTAGTTCATCCTCTGAGGTCCCTCTTAGTCCTAATATGTGATCATGTTGTCTTACCCTATTAGTCTTTGCTGATGGGGGCTATATGTTTGCCACTAATTGCTGACTGAGAAGTCTCTTCTATGGGCATATACATTTTCTTTCTTTTCTTTTTTTTTTTCTTTTGGCAGTTGGGGTTAAGTGACTTGCCCAAGGTCACACAGCTAGTAAGTGTCAAATGTTTGGTCTGAGGCCGGATTTGAACTCTGGTCCTTCTGACTCTATCCTCTGTGCCATTTTATTATATGAATATATATCTTGGTACCCAACAGCTTATAGACTCCTGGAGGGCAAAGATAATTTTTGTACCTTTATGTTATTTATGCTGGTGTATTCATATTTGAAAGCATTTCAGAATTTTGTCCCTTTGCAAATGGATCTCAGTTTCTCCATTTGGAAGTACCCATGTCACCCTGATTATCTAAATATCTTGATGAATATCAGGATTATTTGGTTAAGTGCCATAGGTTTATAGAAGCATAGCTTGAAAGCTGAAAGAAATCACAGAGGATGTCTTCTGATATAAAACTCTGCATATAATAGATTCAGATATATTCTGCACTCCCCCAGCAGTTGAGAGTGAAACAGGTCACCCTGACTCTGAACCATCCTTAAATTCTTGTTAGTTGTGTGACCTCAGTGAAGTCCTCTAACTTTTGTGTTCCTTGAGATCCTGGGACATATGTACTGAGGCATTCATGGGTTGGGATCAGTGGAAGGAATTCCTTCATTTGGGGCTCCCCTATTTGCTGAAATCCCAGTTCCTTTGAGTATTTGAGTATGGCATATGCTTAGCAAATACTTGAGGATGATCAAATTTAATCCACAATTTTGGATTTATATTTGGAAATGTCTTTTGGGACTGGAACTCTATTGTATTAATAAAAGGTTTTTACCTAGGACATTGGAGTGCAAACGAAATATCCATTTGTAAATGCCAATCCACTTTGTCTGTCTGTTTGTTTGTTTTTTGGGATGTGGATGTAAAAGCGTTTCAGAGGGAAAATACTGCTGAATGTCAATGTACCAGGCTTGTCTTGTGATGCTGATGCCCACTTGCCCGTGTCGGTCCAGTCTGAATGAATGCCAGACAGAGCAAGCTAATTACTC